ACATTTCTTCTTCCCTTCCTCACCCCCTAGTTCAATCTTAAAAAAATTCATCTCAACTTTCTTGAGATCAGACCAGCATTATAAGTTATTAAAGCTGCCTAGGTGTTTTATCACATTTAACTACATAAGTTTAATTATGCTATAAAACAGACTCATCTAAACTGAAATATTATATAATCCTTAGACCTTCAAGAAAATGAGGTATCCAAGTAACCTAAAACATATACTCGGTACTGAGTGATTTATAAAACAAAACAGTGAAACCTCACCTCTGCATTCTTGTCATTATTTTCATCTGGAAATGAACTCAGTCACACAGACCTTAAAGAGTGGCTGTGATTCTTTCCAAGTTTTTTATTCCTAGGAATGAAAAAAAGAAGAAAAAGTAAAAACGTCTTTATATTAAGTAGTGAGATGTTTCATTTTTTAATGACAAAAATACCAACATTTATGCAATGATTTATTTTGATCAAATACAGGTATCATGACATAAGACTGATGCCTTTCATAATATTACAACTGTTAAATATTTGTAATGTTACTATATATTAAACTGTAACTTTCTGAGAACCACTAGTGAATATGCACAGTTCCACAACTCTCAATTTATAATTCGGTCCTCTAAAACTGAAGACTGAATTGGGGGGAAAAAGGGGTTGGAGAGGGGAAGAAGTTTGGAAGTTTTTGGACAGTGAAATATCTGAAGTATACAGCAAGAAGTAGCACACTAAGAATCACAATTTCCAAATAGAGTTTTGAATAGTTTAGTAGAGGAACTGTCTGCTTATATAGGCTGAAAGGAAAACATAGTCCTCACCTGCAAAAAAAATGGTACATGTGTATATACCTATATGCATACATATAGATAATCTGTCATGTTCTTCACAATACAGGCTACCTACCAGTTACAGAACAGAAATTATTACATGTTTTACTATTGGGAGTTGCATCTGAATTGCTATGCTAAACTGTCAGTCTAGAAAAAAAATCAGATTTTACTGGAAGATATTACTGTTTTCATCAGAGTTCATTTTGAGTGTTTTGATTATAGCTTTCAAGTCCTATGTTTGTCTGTAATAAAGAAGAAAGAACAATTTAACTTGAATGAACAGTGTGGGCCTGATGAATGCTAGCAGGATCAGACTAAGTAGGCTATTATTGTTGCTGCTGTGACTAAGTGGAAATGATTTACTGTAATGTTTTAAAGCTATTAATGTGATGACTTTCTTCAGAATTTATTGACAGCTGAAATATTTAGGAATCTCTACAAAGATTTTTTTCTTTATAAGTAAAGTACAGACAGGTGCAATCCAAACTATCTTAAAATGTCATGTGACACCAAAAGTCAGCATATGGCAGATCCAAGTCTCTCTGGACAATTGCACCAGAACTGCATTCTCCTTGCACTGAAAATGTATTTACTCTTTTCTCCCCTCCATATCCTACTGGTTTTTGGCTGACATTTTGAACTAATGAATTTACCATCTCCCAGTTTAGTTACAAATAAATTTTAAAAAATCAGTTCCCTAGCATGTGAGTCCTGACTTGGTAAAACTCTAGAATAATTACTTTTCTGTTGTCTAGTCACTGGCAGAGATGGAGTGAAGCCAATTGATTGTGTAGGTTGACAGCATATCTGATTAAATATTTGTATGTGAACATAACACATCACTGTATTCTGCACTGTATCTAAAAAGAGTCAAGGAAAATGGATCCATACAAGCCCTATTCAAGAATGTGAAGCAGAAGCAATCAACTATAGGGAAAAACTTCTTGCTGCTGTCTTAACCAGCTCATTCACGCTACAGGCAGTTACAATATTTCGGGCATAGTGTATCATACATGCACTGAGCTCTCATGTGAGTTTAGAGAAAAATGTTCTAATAGGCAAAAGGTAAGAAATGTCATTTCACCAAAACTGGATGGTTCCAGAAAGTGTAGGAATATTTGTACCATTCCATTTAAATTATTTGCAGTAATTAGAAAATTAATGATTCTCATGTGACAGCTTTATATCTTTTATACATTATTTTGTCCTTTTGCCTACAAATATCCTTTGGACCAACAGGCCTCTATGCTGTACAGGAAATCTTTACGGGGTCAGTCATGGCTGTTAATGTATCTTTTATCTGATGCAGTGAATAGCTCAGAAATTATTAATCCACGGTAAGGCCATTAATATGAAGGCAGCGTGTAGTCCTCCATTCCTTACTGCACTGGTAAACAATACCATGACCTTCTATCACTGAAAGATGATATTAAAACATTAATTTCAAGCTTAGTTCCTTTGTTAGTCAACTACTTACATTTTTTTTTAATGACTGTGACTACTTTAATGTCAACACTACATTCCTGTACAGAAGTATTAGCAATAATATCCACAATTTAGAGCAGGACCATTTTGAAAGAACATTCTGAATTCTTTTCTAGTTAAAGGATTTTCATCAAGAAGAATACTTAATACTGTTGTCACGTGTTTGTTAGTATTGAGGAATTTATTGATCTCTCTCTTTTAGAGACTGAAGGTTAAGCTTTAGTTTTTTCAAAATCTTGGAAATAATCCCCTTTGTACATTGGGGTTTTTTTTCAGAACCTGGAACAAGGAATGCATTCTTCCCCTATACTGTTTTTATATCTTTAATTAGGTTTGGTCAATAGAGATCAAAATGAAACTGCGAACTCTTTTCTTAAATCTCAACAATTACTTTCAACTTTTGCAGAATAAAAACTTGTCTGTGAACCAATGGGTGACCATACAATAAAGTAGAACTTGGGCCTTGTCCTTTAGCTAAATGTGATATACATTCTGGGGAGTATATAAAGGTCATATTTATTTCAAGCTTTGGAAACTAGTACCTTAATAGCAACACACATCCCTTAACACAACTTCAATTAAGCCCCTATAATATGAAATTATTACCTGTATTCAGAGTATTACCCACAATACACCCCATAAGTATGATGCCAATTAATGACATACAACTTAAGATACTTCCAGCAAGAGCTTATCTATTAACAATAAAGTGCCTCATAACTTGAAGACATCACAGTGAAAGAACACCAAAAAGTGTTTTCACCTTACTCAGCTTCTAAAGATCTTGATTTTTTTTTTTTTTTGCTGTAGTCTCTTAAGAAAGCAATATTTTGAATCAGTTTATACCCTTATTCTTCACTTTATTCTGAGTGTGACCTGTGACTCAATCCTGCACAGTGCCAAGACACTTTATGCAGAATACTGTGTGCCATTTTGAAGAAAAGCGTTTGAGGAGGTTTGGCATCTCTCAGGATCAAGCAATTTAATCCAACACCAAATGTCTGCTTTTTTTAATAACAATATACAACTTAAGGATGAAAGCATCACTTCATTTCTAAACCATGTTATGAGTGTAAAATATATCTATTATTTTCTTTGCAAGAGAAAGGGTGAAAATTCATTGTCAAATAGGATTTCCCTGAAGAACATCAATGCTTGAGGAGCTCAGAAGTTCTCCTACTAGGAAATAAAATTTACTCCTCTGCCAGCTTTACTCCTAGTGGCTATGTGAAACTAGTTTTTGCTTTGTGAAATGATAGTGAAATGTGGTTTTGGGGGTTTTTTTAGCTTTATGGAAAAACTTTAATAGTGATAATTTATTTGGAAAAAAAAAAGCATTGCATTTTCATCATCTAACTTTGTCACCATATGAAAAATAATACTAACTTATTAAAACAGAGGAAAGATCTTTGAAGTCTAAATGGTTGATGATGTTAGGAGAGCTGGGCATGGGGCTTTTAGAATTTAATCTCAGTCCTGTTTGAATTTGTGGAGAAATATTCTTGACTCCATCAGTTTTTTTCAAGTTAAACTCATCAGTTTTGGGGATTGAATCATGTGTATATCAGTGTAAATATTAAATCTTTATCAAGGTCTTTGCAGGTATGTTGAACTACAAGATTAAATGAATGTGTAGATGATCCTGAACATTGTGTTTAATCTTTTAAAATCCATAAGAGAAACAACATTCAGAGTGTCTTTATTTATTGCAAGGTATGAGAAACAGGCTTTGTTCCCTCTATAGGATTTATCTGTGTATCAACATCTTCCAATTTATAACATCTAACTTACTTTTGAGTTTTAATATTTGGCAGTTGTGATGAGTGCTTCATCACAGTAAGAGTCTGCAGGACTGGAGTGTGCAGCAGTATTTTCTGACTCATTATTTCTAGTATTAGCTTTACAGTTAACGGTTCCTTGATGCTAATTGATCTCTTGCATCCAAAGCACAGATTTCAGTGTTATCCATGCCACAATATCTATTAGTTTTGCCCCAAATGTTTGTTTCCAGTTTGTGGTTTTGTAAGTTTATTTTTTATTCCATCTTAGGGAATTGTCCCCTGCTATGTAAAAGTACTCTTTCACCTTAAGGATAGCTTCTCAAATTCCTTTTGCAATTTATTCTACTTGAAAAGCTGCCCACTAAGTAGTCTATTAGCCCACATTTGCTCCATTCATGTCATCACTCTTTTATGGTGTAACTGCGCTTGTGTCTCACATATCTTAGAGACAGGACTCTGGCATATTAGCATAATCCAGCATAGATTTCAGTTTATATCAATATGCCAGGCTGTAAATTGTGACAGTTGAAGTCTCTGATTCGTAATTCCTTTTGGATTTGGAAGCAGCTGTGGAACTGTGACATCTATATCCAACAGAAATCATCAGCCAGAGTCTTGGCTTAAATAAATACGGAATTTGTCAACTCTGCTAGTGGTGAGGGGTCGTAATCATCAAATCAGCAGAGGAGTATTTGGGACAAAGTATTGACCTTTCGGAAGGAGGTGAAAATTCTGTCACTAATTTCAGTTAAATCTCTTTTCACCCAATAATTGTGGGGTGTATAAATAAAATGAGAGCTTTCAGATGAGAAACTGTTTGCTGTGACATGTACTTTTTTTATACATGGAGAGAAATACAAGAACAACTGAAAAGGGCGTTTGAGACAGTACCAAACAGAAGGAGCATGGAGGCGAAAATGTTTGGTCTTGAAAAATATGGTATCCCAGCTTCTCTGAGAATCTCAAAGTATCTCTGAATTAGACCTGACAAGGTATATAACAATCTTCCAATATCCACTGTGGAAAAAACGCAGGAGGATAATACCTGTATTACCTATTCTGAAGAGTCAGGGAGAATGAGGCATATTGTTACCAGATCAGTATGCATTCTTTTAAATCCTATTGGTGTGTTAGCCTTTTATTCTTTGAAGTGGCTCCAAGTTGCTCTTTGCTCTTGTTTCCAAGTTGTATGTGAGATCTAATATCATGGGTTTTAAATCTGTGCTTAATGAAAAAGCTTAAACCAGGCAAGAGAAAATAATGATGGTCACCATGGAATTATCTTAAAATGTGATAAGTTCTGTTTTCCACATTCACATGGACTCATATGAGAAGATGTGATTATATATTTAGTTAGATATTTTACCCTTTGTATCAAATTTATGACAATAGTGATATCCTGTACAATGTTGGGCTCCATCTCAACTATCAGATATACAAGTTTTTTGATGGAAAGCTAGTGTTATAACTTCTAAATCCATGGTAAAAAGTTTTAGGAGGTAACAAGCAACCTTTCAGCTACTCTTTGCTTTGGGTGAATGCCAGGAGAAAAAGTCAGCCACACCAAGAACACTCTCGTTAACTTTCATAAGAATTAGAACACTTACCTTCTTTAGCCAATAACTGCTAATTTTGATTTTAACTTTTAAATGCAGATATTATGAGCAGTTCTTAAGGGTGCAAACTTGTAAGCCCCAGGTTTTTATTTTTTTCCTTGCCTTTTCATCTCCTACAGTGCTGGTCGTGGGCTGTATGGAATTGATAGTATGCCAGACCTGCGTAGAAAGAAATCTTTTCCCATTGTTCGAGATGTGGTAAGTAACTTCTGATGCCATGAAACTGTTGATTCATTTGTCAGTTTTCTAGATCTTTCTTGTAATTACTAGTGTGCATGTGAATGATAGTTTGTCAACAATTGTTTTATGGAAAAAAAATGTATCTTGAGAGAATGTATTCAGGCCAGTAAAAGTCAATGATGCAGTTGTTATAATGTACTAGATAAGTCTGAATATCTCATCGAATATTTAGATATTACTTGTGGAATCAAGTAATGTGCATTTCATGCAATGATAAACTACTCATTTTCATCTTGAATTAGCTTACAAAGACAGCTGTTATTGAGTGCTTGGGATACCGGTGGACGTGATTTATTATGATACTGAGAGAGGAATAAAGTTCCTTCTAAAAAGCAACCCCGTTTCAGTATGAATGTTTTAAAGATTTATGCATACATTTGGTACAAGATGAGGTATGGGGGGTTTTAGCAGTCATTGTAGACAATAATAATCTAGGCAAATAAATTTCAGAAAGGTGAAAAGAATGGCAGTTCCTTTGAGATTTATTCTGACTTCTAGTCTAAACAAGATTAAGTAGAATCTGTCTGCTCTGAAGAATTTTAAGTGCCATTCACATTTCTCTTTTTCTTTTCCTGAAGTATAGAATTCATAATTCAATAAAATGCATATTTAGTCTCTGGTGGTGGTGAGCCCCCAAACCAATTTCACATTGTAAATAAAGGGAGTCAGCCAGAGTAAATGATTACTATAGTTGTCTTTAAAAGATCAATCTTTGCCAAATTATTGCTCAATATATTCTCAGCTACTCTGTTCTGTTACTCTACAGTGATATACCATACTATCTGAAGGGTCACAAAGAGAAAGTGCAGCAACCATTTTAGAGTAGAATTCCTTCTTGAAATCAATGAAAAGTTGCAATTTATGACATAGTAGAGCCTTCATTCATTGAAACCATCTTTTTGACAGTAGCCACTCCACTGTAAGTTGTATTACACGAGTATAATTTACAGCCAAGTTATAATAATTTTATGCATATGAAATAGCACTTTGCTTTATTCTTAATTGTTGGAACTGTTTACAGACAGGTATTGCTCAGAACAAGTTAAGACATCAGAATCTTAATATTGACTATTCACTTTGAAAAACATAATTATCAAAGAGAAACAAAAAAGAAAATTCACATTTTGAATGATGGAATAAAACTTTCATTTTATTATTCTAATATGTCAATGAGTACTGTGTAATGATTACTATTTTGCTGTCCAGTCATTGAAGGATAACTCCTCTTGAAGGAATTATACCTTTAATAAGTGGAAGTTGCAGAGTTTTAAAACTGAAATGTGTTCTGGAATTTAATCATTATGGACTTACAGTATAGCTCTTAATTATATGTTCTTTAACTATATACTTCTTTAAAATAGTAAATTATATTACAATTCAGGTCTGCAGCTGTAAACCTAAAACAATTTTACCAACTTAACAGGAACTTATTTCAGACTTAGTGTAGGTCATCTTCGTCTTTGAAAGATTATTTTTATTTGAAGGTATGTGCATTTTAAGCAATCTCCTGTGAGCTCTGAGCTTGTAATAGGTTGATTCCAAGATACCTCATTTTAATCAATAACTTAATTCTCAAGTCCTTGTAAGATCTGATACATTGTAAATGATCTTTTTTATGTTTACTTATATGACGGTTTCAGAAATATAGAAATACTATTGCTAGAAATGAGTGCTAGACTCTTTTGACACTGACTGAAGTAGATATGATATATTTTTTTTGTCTCAATAAATCTGACAAATTATTAATATTCTTTATAATTTCTTTCCTATCTTGGCTGGATTTTTCAGGCTATGGTAAGTGCTTTTATACTGATAAATGTTCTAAAATTTATAATTTAAAATAATAACTTGTAGGGATTTCATGAATGCCATATTTTATGCTGACCTTTTATTGGAAAATAGAAAAACTATTTTGACCAAGAATTTAATCCTAAGTGAAGTTGTGTCTTATGTGAATGTCTTGTCCTCTGCATCATATATGTCAAAATTATTAGGAGAAGTTTATGTTAAAAAGTTATCTTTGTATTCCAAATGTCCTTTCTATGACCCAGTCGTGATGCTTCCCCTGTGGAACTGAACAGCCTTAGATAGCTAGATAAAGAGAAGTTGAAAGTGTTCCCTACTTTTAAATCCTCTTGTATCAATCAACTAAATTCTTTGACCTCTCTTGTAAAAGGTGAATTTCCTAAATCAAATAAAGACTTTTAGGTACTATGGTGTAATTTTGTCTAATAACTAAATTAATGACTCATGGAAATATTTTCTTTTTCCACCAACTTTGGCACTTGTAAAGTTTCCTCCTTATTTTCCTAGCCCCTTCGCACTTCCAGTTTCTCTGCATTAGTTTCCATGCTTTCAGCATGGTATCTCAATATAAGGTTTATCAAAATTATGTGTATCTTCTTAAGATGATATCTTTGACTCCCATTTGTTTCCATAAATTCACATTTTGAAAAATCCAGTTTTCAACAGCAGCCTTACTAGTACTCTTTCTCCTAAATCTCTGAGATAAGTTTCTTCACTAATGCATTCAGAGTCTCTGCTTTCCCTTCTTGTTTTGGATTGAGTCATTAGAGAGGGTAAGGCAGTCAAAATCCATCTACAGGAACAGTTCTCTTTGATGCAGTCATGAGTTTCGCTGTGCGTCATTATTAGAGTTCTAGTAGAATATATCTGTATGGGAAGGAAAGACAATGAAAGCAGAAGTGATCATTCAAGTGGAGTAACAATAGACAGAGCTGTTTGAATAACAATACAGAGAGCTTGAACAGACCTCTGTTCAATACGGAGCCAGAAAAAAGTGTCAAGTGCACTTGCTGATGTAATCACTGTAACTTCTACTTTTAAAAAAATATGTTACTCTTTTGTGCTAGTGAGAGCTTTTGTTTGAGGTGGGACTACAACCAGGAAGATGAATAGCAATAATTACAGAGGTTAGAAGTACTTAACCCATGATGGCCAAATAGGTGTGATGATCTGCCCAGTCGTAGGCAAAGTTAGCTAGCTCTATTCTTCTATCTCACTATGCTTTAGTCTTTGCTTCTGTTAATGCAAGTCATCATTTCAAATGTTATGAAAGCTATAGAACCTGGTTTCATTTGATTTAAAGGTTACTTTATACTGTACAATCACTGTAATCCGGCAGATTTCTTCTTTTGATCATTCAAGAATATATTACTACTTAGCTTTATCATTTGATTATAAGAACACAAGAATAATTGTTGAATCCTTGCTGCTGTTGTAAAAGACTACTTGGTTCATACTGTTGAAGTGAACACACCAGATGAAACAACTGCCCATTTCAGCTAAAACAACAATCTACTGACACTTCTTTTTATGTAAGTGTCTCCACAACAAAAGCATTTAGAGAGACTAGAACTTGATTATGGTAGTTTAAACTCTTAAGATTGAAGACATTCGTATAAATTGCAGCTGCCACATTCTCAGTTTTTGTACATTGTCAGAGTAATCATTAGATAAAAGCTAAATATCTGGACTGTTTTACATTAAATCTGCTATTTGCAGTCCATTTTCTTAACTCCTTTAATCATTAATAGACAAATTGGATTAAATATTTTAATATTCATACATTAAATAGGTACACCATAAAAATAATTAAACAGTATTTTTATATTTGTGGGTTTTTTTTAATTCTGCTAAATGGAAATCATAATAATATGATTACATTCCTTTGTTTCACACCTATATGTTCCAGGAATTAGGACTAGTTGTGGGGAAATTAAGAAATTATTGATGAACTTGTCTGCTGTTTTCCATGCCATTTCTGACTGACTTTAATATTCAGAATGATCTTAGAGGCTAGACGGGACATGCTCTTGTGTCTGTGCTATGAAAACGAATATGAAGAAAAAGTAAATGGTATTACAGTGGTGTCCAGTAACGATTGTGTAGTTAAGCTGAGTTGCGATTTCCTTTCTAAATCTGCAGTTCTGTTGAACATTTCAGGATCAGACATCAACTTTTTTAATAGAAAAATTATGGGAAGAGGGTGAGTAATTTTGGACAATAGCTTGTTTCCTTTTGAGTGATTTCTTACTCCTTCCTGTCCCACTCTCAGCCCCAAGCAACAGACTACAAATCTTTCTTTCAGACTAATAAAGTTGAGATCCCTAGAGTGATAAATTACCTGTAGTTGCTCAAAAAAGAAACAGTTCTGAAAGTGTGAAGATTTTTAAATGCTGAAAATGCAGATTCACTTCTAGTGGGTAACTTTTACATTGCATTAAAAATGTAACAGTATTTGTAAAGTGGTAACAAATATTTTGTCTTCAACTTTTTTTCCCTGGTGATAACAGTCTGTAGATTCTTTTAAAGAAAAAAATTTTGAAGGAAAAGATGATCAGGAAAACAGAAAACCTCTGTAAATACAGAGGAATGAGTATTGCATGACACAGCCAGCATTCGTGAACAGCTGAAAAATGTTACCTTGACTGCTCCCTGCTACTTTAGCTGATCAGAAACACAGCTTTCTTTTATTCCATCATGGCAGGTAGCTCTTTTTTCACCCACACAATTTTTCATTTAACATTTGATTGTAGCTTGAGTCTAATTCTTTTACTTATAGTTACCATTTTTCAATGTTTTTGCTAGAATGACTTCTAATGGTATTAATTTATTTATTTAAGTTACTAAGGCAAATTTGGAGGTAATACATAAGATAGTGTAGATACAAGTTATTAGGGGGTCTAAAAGGACTTGAGTACAAAGGAGACCAAGTTATTTTAAATCCTGTATCAGGAATTTGGAAAAACACTTAAAAATAAATAGACAACGTTCTGCTTTATCTTTTTTTTTTTTTTATAATAAATTTGTCCAGATGTTCATCATGCAATAATACCTACATACAGATCTTTACGATCTGCAGGTCAAATTCTTGTATAAGGAAAGACATGAGGTGGTATCTGAACTTCAGTTTGAGGCAGTAAGCAAGTGTAAACTGCTGAACAACTCTTGTGTCCTGTTAAAGGAGAGTAGAGAAAGGCTTCAGGTTCATGTTGCTCTCCCTGTTCTTTTGATGCTCTGGCAATTTGGACTTCCTTCCTGGAGGCTCCAGATGATTAGCTGCACTTACCTTTCTTCCTTGCTACTATTTAAAAACAGAGGACAATAGGGGGAAAAGTTTTCTTGCTACATTCATAACCTGTCACCTTGTTTCCCATAAATGGGTCTGGCAACATTTTCCCCTTACTCTTTCCAAAATGCTCACTCCTCCTTGCTTCATTCCATCCTTAAGAACAGGCATGGTTCTGTGTTTGTTCAGTGCTTCAAGCTGTTGAATTATCACCAACTACAGTATTTCAGAACAGAAACATTTTATTTATTGCCTTTCTCTTGTAGATGCAGTATATTCTGACAGTGATACATAAATGGAAATAATACTTGTGAGTTTTTCGACTAAAATCCCTGTAAATTTAATCCATAACGACTGTTAACTTTACTGGTTTATCACAAATACCTCTAGATATCACGTTGTTCTATTATCCTTCCAACGTGACAAACATTTGATTAAGAACAGCCTAATTATCTGTTTCCTATTCGGCTGCTTTATTTCATATAGGACACTGTACTATGATTTTAGACACATTTCTGATTAAGGAGCAAAATGGTTAAGCTACATGACTCCAGGAGTAGCCCTTGGGAGTATTGGGCCTCAAGGACACAAGACAGGGTCAAAATTGCTTCCCTACTTTCCTTTTTCTCAAAGGAAATAGTATCTGTTTATTGACTTATACTGATAGCATGAAACTGCAGTTCTGCTGGCTGATGTACTTTGACTGATATATTGCTGGAGGACAGAACACAGTATCATTCACTGCCCTATAGTCAAGGTTAATGTCGTTATGCCCTTTATTTTCCTGCCCTGACAAGTAGTCCACATTGCTCTGTAGCCTAGAATGTGTATTTTAGACCTAAAAGTATCAACTCACTTTCTAAGTATAAGGGACATGAAGATTAGAGGTCAAAACTATAAATTACTGCAGGCAAGTAAATGTAAATAGCTACTTTCCAAGACTTTGAGAAGAAACCTATGCTTCAAGAAGGATCAGAAGATGGGTGCTTTTAAAATTAATCTTTTTAAACCTAAAACTACCGATTATGGAAACTGTTTCTTTTTTTCTTAATGTTCCAAACACATTTTTGCTTGCCATTTCTGACTTTGATGTGTTGGTCCTGTAGCATTAGGTTTTGTCACAAAATGTTTGAAAAAACAAAGCCTGGGCTCTGTTTAAACTTTCCTGTCACTGTCAATCTCACTGGCACACACCAATGGAATTTCCCATATTGACAGAAATAGAAAGAAAAGATGGTCACAGAGAAGCAAACAGAATTTATTTACTTATTAAAAACAGAGTGGGAAAACTGGTAATGAATTAACGGTATAGGCAAAAGCGGGGGGGGGGGGGGGGGGCAGAGTTCTTTGCATCCCATATTAATTGTAATAGGACAGTGATGAATCAAATCAAATATTTCTGTGCCAAGGATGACTTCTTACCCTATAATTGGTTTCACAAGATTAATAATTTTGTGTCTATCTGCAAGTTTAATTATTATCAAGGGAAACTTATTGAAAATTGAATGGGTATGTTCTCAGGGGAAAGTAAACATTTAAAATTAAAATTAAGTCTTAATAGCTCTACATAAAAAAGAAATCCATTTAAATTATGTTGGTGTTTAAAATTATAAAATGGGAAGAAATTGGAATTATCTCTCCATCCAAAGATTAACGATGCAGTTCCTTTGCTGATGTAAGCCTAAATTGCTTCTGACCTAATATGTATTTCACAAAAATAAGAGTCATATGCAAAAATATCATTGAAACTTTTGCTATAACAGCTCTATAATGGTGGACTACAGAAGACCCAGTTCACAGTAAGGCAAAAATCTATATCCTCACAACAAAGGCAACAACAGACTTATGGTTAGTGGGTGGTATAGTTGATCATTCTCACACTGCTAGACTATGGGGGCAGCAAGGTATGACAAAGCAGATGCTGAATTACGGAAGAACAGAGATAAAGCACAAGTATACAGACACGCTTGGAATGATTTAGAATAGGGGGAAGGATGCATGAGCCAAATTTTGCAGGTAAAATAAAGTAATATAGAGGTGTTATGGTTAATATTTTGTACAGTGGAATAAATTTTATCTGTTTCTGTCAGGCCAAAAGGACTACTGATAGCAGAAGTGATATTCAGAGTTGAAATATTATTTGGAAAACACACAGAACTCATTTCCCCAGGGTCTTTTTCCTTCTGATCATTATATCCTCTAATTAATTCTCAAGGACCCATTTAAATTACAGGGATATTGCAGTAAGGAAGATAAAATTTTATTGTTTATTGTATATGAAAAATATTTTAAGTGCCTTTGTATGTACTATAGTAGAGCAAATGAGATTGTCTCTACAACCAAGGACGTAGCCTTTGGAACTGGGAGGTGTTCATATACCCTTAATGTCATATGGGCAAAAGAGGACAGATTGAGACAGAGTTCCAGTCTTTTTTCTCCCTCCAAGAACCAGAGTATTTCTCCACTTAGCTATTCGTAGTATTGAATGAATATTGTCTTTAAGGAAAAAATTACTTTTAGGTTTCCCAAAGACTTTTTATTTAAGACAAGTAGCATTTTATATACATACACACAGTTTGAAAATGCTCAGTGAGTTACAAAAACTTATCCAGACTGACTACTTGAACCATAAGACTATTGCAGATCATCTCCCATGTTGCTGCAGGCACAGACAGCTTCCAAATTAGGGCAGGATGCCTATCCTTGTAGCACATTAATTTAGTTGGCAAAGCAGAAAAACAGTGACAGCCTGTGGTTTAAAAAAACTGACTCATAAACCTCTGAATAACAGGTTTTCTATTAGAAATGGCAGCTCAGCTAGACACTGCTGAAAGAAACAGTAATGACGATGGAAAATGTGCTCTTGCATTATGTACTGAAACCTTAAAAGTTGTGTGCTGCAAACATTAACTAAAAGTTTTTGTAACACCTACAGTTTTTCTTAAATCCAATAGCATAATCAAGTACTACTTCCTTCCATTAGATTCAACAATTGGAGTTACCTGTATAATTTTTAACAGTTTTGCATTTGCTTTAAACAGACACTTGCAGCTCGAAAATCTGGTATTTCCATGGCCATGCTCATCCGGACCTCCATAAACAATGATGAAATGGTAAGTGTTTTCAATGGCAGTTTTAAGTCATTTAAATAATAGAGAAATATTTGTACAAAGCTCTTTAGAAATTATTTCAGCCTTAGACACTCCAAACTGGATAAAACATGAGTGTATAAGCATTCCATTCATTCATCTTGAGCAGAATTTGCTACCTGATCCACAGTGATGAGACCAGGTTTGTTTCTGCTGACTCACATCCATGACAGTCAGAAGAGACTAAGCAAGAAACCTTTGTCTTACAAAATAGTTACTTGGAGAAACCTTGTATTTTAATTGTCCAGTTGCACCATGCTTTACCTGCATCTGTCTCTCTTTATCAGCATCTGTCTGTCTTCATCACACCATGAGTACAATTAGAATGACAAGACTCTGCAAGAAGGTTTCTGTGTGATTATTATTTTTTTTCCCCAGTCCTTATAGGTGGCTGGGACATTATTTGAGTTTGTAAATGTAACTCCTGCTAATTATGTGATTCTAGATGATGAAATATTTAATTTGTACAAGTGACCAGGAACATCTTTTGAAGAATCATATTCGTTTAGCTAGTAAAACCTGTGTTGTGGGTTTTTTTATTTTTTACTTCACTTACATCTTGCAAAAGTAATTTATTTTAAACAAAAACACAACGAGTGCCATTTTCTTCAGGAATACTTAAAGTGTGATGCAAACAGATTTACATAGCTGAACTAAGCTAAAGTACTAATCTGAAAAAATAAAGGCCCCTTTTGTGTTCCTTAAATTGCTAGTGCAAACATAGCCTTCTAGAATATATCCTACACTGAAAAAAAAATGAAGTGTTGAATTTTTCTTACACTGTTGTTAAGCTCCATAGTAGAAGAATGGAAGAGTAGAATATGTTGACAGATATTCTGGGAACTGAGACCCATAGCACAAGTATACACACATCCATCACTCTTCTCTGATTCATTGTGAACTTTCTATGCTTATATGGTAATCACAAAGGAACAATTTGGTAGTGCTCAGGGATGGATTGATGAGGTAGGAAACAGCTGGTGTTCAAAATATTCTTTCAGTAGGAGCAGTAGTTATTTTGTTCTGCTATCTCAAAATAGCAACAAAGGTTGACAGAACAAAGGAGAGCTATGGAATCTTAAAAAGAAGTTAAAGGCTGAGGGAAAATTATAGAGAACAAACTTATGCCATGCAATTGGTGCAAAAAGAGTTTTTCCATCTATGTTATAGCTGCTACAAAAATATCTAACTTCAGTAAAAGACCCTAAGAAACTCCATATGCTTTACTAAAAGATGTCTACTAAACAAACAAATAAAACTATTTATAAGTATTGCTACCTTTTATGACAATAAATATGGGTTCAACTGTTTGTTTACATGCTTCCCCTGATGCAAAAACTACCAGGCTGTGACTTTGGAGGGCTAAAGGTAGAAGTTTTGGGGATAATATTAACTGCCAGCAAATGCAGGACAAGAAAGAATAATTTAGACTAACTATTTTAAGTTAGAATCTATCTAACTTAAGTGGTACTGTTCAGGAGGGAAAAAGAAGGCAGCAAATCCCAGTGGACAGCTCAATACAAACATTTCTCCAATGCTTGCTGTCAATCAGGAGAAACTGGTCAACCAGGGTTCGGGAGAAATGGAAAGGGAAAAATAAGTTGAACGTATTTTTATGCTGTTATACTCTTTGGCCTCCATTTGAACCAGACTATGTGAAAAATTGCGTACCAGAAATAGGTATTTCTTAACAAATCTTTAAATGAAAACATAAGTCCAAAAAGCAGACAACAAATATAATTTAGATACATAAAAGTTCATTTGGTGAGAAAATGTAAAAAGCTAATTCGGAGAAGAGGTGAATAAGAGAACCCTGTCTTAATCTATCCTTCACTAAACATACTAAAGGGAAGTGGGTACTCTATCAAGGATAAATGTAATGGTACAGCCAGTAAAAACACTTGCAAGATATTTAAAACAAGTGAAAGGTAATACTTTTCTACTTGTAGCCAACAGAACTTAATGCCCTAAGGCATCATAAAAACTGAGTAGAACAATATTTGAAAACAAAAAGAACTGAGAGTTGGGGTTGTTCAGCCTGGAGAAGAGAAGGCTGCGGGGAGACCTTATTGCGGCCTTTCAGTACTTAAAGGGGGCCTACAGGAAGGATGGGGACAATCTTTTTATCAAGGCCTGTTGTGACAGGACAAGGAGTAATGGTTTTAAACTAAAGAAGAATAGATTTAGACTAGACATAAGGAAGAAATTTTTTACAATGAGGGTGGTGAAGCACTGGAACAGGTTGCCCAGAGAGGCAGTGGAGGCCCCATCCCTGGCAACATTCCAGGTCAGGTTGGGTGGGGCTCTGAGCAACCTGATCTGGTTAAAGCTGTCCCTGCTGACTGCAGTGGGGTTGGGCTAGATGACCTCTAAAGGTCCCTTCCAACCCAAAGCATTCTATGATTCTGTGATTCTATGACATTTTCAGGCATAAAAGAACTCTCCAGATACTCTCCACAAAACCAGATGAAGAAGTGCAGTCACTGATGAGAGTTAAGGAAGAAAATCCCCTTTGGGCAAGTTATTCCTCTGATTAAGGCTTTCCTGGTTTTTAGTCTCCCTCAGCTTTTTCTAGAGGGAGTATTAATGACTCTGATGGAAACAGGTTATTTGGCTGGTTAGATTCAGAATGGAAATTCTTTGAAATAATGTTTTCTATTAAAAAGCAAATGCCAAAAATTACTTACTCCAAAAATTAAAACCTGAGGTTAAATGCTTTGAGCTTTGCCACCTGACATTGTTATCCTTCTGGTATAACACTTTCATGACACAGTAAGTTTGTATGTTCCCAGGCACTGATCCAAAGACATTTTAAGCAATGTCAAAGTATTAACTTCAGTGACACTTAAATGTGTGCTTTCAGTTGAGCATTCATTTAATTGCTTTGCTGAATAAAGAGGCAGAGCTGCAAGTTTGTGAAAATAATACATCGATGACATTGAAAAAGTATCTCAAGTAGTATATGACAGAAAAAAACTTCAATTCAGAGGATAAGCAGATAACTAAATAATCCTCCTTTATATTAACAGTGCTAAATGTTGCCATGCCCAGAGCTCAGTGAATGCATATAATAGATACATTTAAACAGAGAAGAGTATTAGGAATGAAAGCCTCTAGACAGTAAGATAAATAAAATTTTCCTTTATGATTGTAGTTTGCTTTATTAACAACAGGGGAAAGATCATGTTCAGCAGCAAAACCAATCTACAAATTGTGTCTTTCGGCTGAAAAAGTCATTTATGTTCAGATGTTTATTTCAAGGCCTGTTGAGCTCTGCCATTTCATTACTTACTGCCGTTTCAGAAATAGATAAAAGTTACTGGTAAAATTCTAAAATGATTTATACTGTGAAAAATCAGTGAATCTGAATGGGGTGAAAGGGCAGGATTTGTACTGATCCTACTAGAGTTCAGGAGTGCATGAGTGTAATCTGCAAAGGAATCTTCAAAGACCTGGTGGTTTCTGAGAAACATGATTCCTCCACAAGCTGCACAAATTCACTTTAGGTTGTTTTTGAAATTTTCTTTCTGATCCCTGTAGCTGGTAAGCTGTGACATGATAGGCAGAGGGTGGAGAAATGCACAAAGATGAAGTTTGCAGAGTTAGGTGGCCATGACTAGCCCAGTCCCTCTTAGCGTCTGCCAAATTAAACCAGTGCAGACCTTTGCTTGCTTTCAGGGGAGTTACTAGGTGGTTAATTGTCTAGGATAGGCTAAGAAAGCACCCTGGAGAGCAATTCAGTACTTGTTTTAGTCATTCCTGCTGTATCGGCTTCTTTTCTTAGTTCAGTTCTACAGTGTTCTCAGAAGTGCTAGGATCAAATGTCCATGAAATGTCTGACCACATTTGTTTGGCCAGGCTTCACAGGATAGATGTTGTTTTTAGCATGTACCTATGAACTTCAATATGAGCTGTTGCAGCCTAAGCTACTTAACATTTGGTTTTGTTATTTGTAGTGCTTGAATCTATGAGTCAGTAGATTTATGGCTACATGGTAATGGTTTTCCTGTGGTAGCAATAATCCTTTAATTGATGTCTCTGTGCAACATTATGCAGATATGCACACAGACAAAAAATTATTAGACAATTTATTATTAGCAGAGTATCTCACATATTTGAGCAGAGATGCAGATACATAAAACCAAGAGCATGCCAGCATGCTGTTAGAGAGGCTAATATCTTGCATTTGGCATATACTTACCATAGCTGAATATTAAAATTATGGGAACATTAACAAATGCTTAACTGAATAAGTTAGCCTTGCTTTCTATACTATCAGAACTGTGGCAGTGATGTTAAAGCTCATATGGACAAACCACGCAAATTCCAAAATGTTGTTCCCCAGTTTGCTACAGCTACACAGCCAGCATTACAGCTAACTTGCATTATATGCACACAAGACAAAGAGATGGCAAGACAGACAGACTTTCAGAAATATCCTACTTCCCACTGTGCTACATCTTTTAATATGGTTCCTTCTTTCTAAAAGAAACAATCTATTCATTTATAAGGGAACAGGTCTAGAACTTCTCATACATTCATGGCAGCCAGGTGTGCATTTAGTGGGGAAAAAAAAAACCCTAAACCAAGGTCATATTTTTGTCTGGTGTCAAGTGCTGCCTACAAGCTGCTGAGTTTTTCTTATTCCCAACAAATGGACTGGACTTAGAAGATCTGAATGCCTGAAAACAAAGCTGAGATTCAGGTTGTTTGCAGTACTAATCAGTGAGCAGCTGATAACTGTTCTCCTGCTAGAACTGGTGTGACTTCTAAGCCAAAACAGTCCAAGAAATAGGTGTGGAATTTTGAGAATATGGATCATTCTTGTTTATAGGTAAAAAGCATCTTGGTGCCTAAAAAGGAAGTAGTGAGTGTGCTATTATAGGAATACAGACAAAATGGAACCATAAAGTTGGCCTGCTTTTATTTGATGAGGAGATTATACAGACACTAAGTATTGAAGGATAGCACTGTATATAATCAAAGCACTTTTTGTGCAGTGTGTCTAAGTTCCTGTAGGAAGTATTTAAATATTCAGAAGTAATGTGTTAGGTAGTTGCTTTCAATGCATCAGTGACTGTAACGCTAATGAATTTTTAAATTTCTGTCCCAAAATATAAAAATTATATATAAGTCTCTGTGTTAATTGACTGATCTGATTCCAACTTAACTCTTCTGTTTCTGTAATCAGTCAAAATGGTCATCCAAGGTTCTTTTGTCTTTAAAGTGCAAGGCAAAATGATGAAATCAGTATTTTGTAGATTAGTTCATACTTCTATGTATATTCTGATATTTTGTAACATTGTAAGTGTAATGACATATGCTTTAGCTCCAGTTCACTTGTATTAAACAATACTTCAACCAAAGTCTTGGTTATTGTTTTTTTCTTACCTAACAGAAAATACATGTCTTCAAGAAGACATTGCAGGCTTTGATCTACCCAATATCATCAACTACACCTCATAACTTTGAAGTTTGGACAGCTACAACTCCTACATACTGTTATGAATGTGAAGGTCTACTTTGGGGCATAGCCAGACAAGGCATGAGATGCACCGAATGTGGTGTCAAATGCCATGAGAAGTGCCAAGACCTCCTAAATGCTGACTGTTTGCAGAGTGAGTATTTCCTGACTGCTAAAGCTTTGCAGTACTTCGCACCTTTGCATTTTGTGTGTACACTAGGATATTTCCTGAAATGAAGGGCCAGATCATCAGGAATCAGTGAAGACATGTTGATGTTCATTGACTGAGGAGCTAGCCAGAAACCTTTTGAAATACCTATTGTTAATTTTGCTTTTGTCCCTGGAACTTGCCAAATGTTGCTGGTCAGTTACAAAATAAAGTTTGGTAGCATTAGTATATTATTTACTTTCCACTGCCTATGGCAACACCCAGAGCAATTTGTTATATGATGTAAACCCTCTTTGTTTTATTTAACTCAGATTACAAGAAATATCAAAGCAAAGATTAAAAAAATATTCATAATACTTATTGTAGTCATATTAAAATGCTATAGAATAGATGAGAATATGAAACAGTAAGTAGGATCTTGCCCCTTCAAACTACCAAACCATGTATGTGTAAGGGAAAAAAAATATTAGTCACGAAGTCCTTTGGAACTAGAATTAAGGTGAAACAACCTTTTTCTTTGCTTTTTCATTGGCCAGATTGATTCCAGCCATGATGTATTCTCCTCCGTAAAGACCTGAGGTGCATTTAAACCATACTTAAATTACACAATTACTACACAAGATTCTAAACAATAGAAAACCAAGACCTGCAAACTTTCTGATATCCTGATTTTGGAATGGAAGGAGCTCTTACAACTCTGGAATTATTCCACACTGTTCACTGTTGATATGTTCCTGAGGGTTTACCTAACTTCTACATGTAGGAAAACCACATAGATATTCTAGTCAGGTCTTCTTCCTTCCCACTGTGTTCTCTGTGTGAGGAGCTGTCACAAGGGATGGATTCTTAAGATTCATATTGTTCAGGAACTAATCACAATTTCCCAGAGCAACTGACCCCATGGAGCATAAATCAATGACAAATTTCTAAATCAAACTGCTTAACTGAGCTTAATTGTGTTTCTACACTATGGTTGAAACTGGGCTGTGTTTGACAGCTAAACTTTTGACATAGTTTCACAAGTGAGAAAATAATATTCACTTTGAAAATCAAATATTATAAAAGTACATTGTGCAGCATTAATATGATTGTTGGTGGTGAGTTTTCAAAAGTGTATAAACTAATGAAGATACTTGTGAGTAGCTTCTTCACTAAGTGCAAATAACCTCTGTTACCTGTGTAGTAACAAAAGAAGGTACGCTTTCATAATGTCAGTTTCTGTTCACTCTTATTGACTAATTGTCCCATTTCATTCTAGGTACATTTTAAGACTAGCTAAAAATAATTAATTACACATCAGCCCATTGATCTCTCTGTTTTAGGTAGTCATTTGACACCCTAGTTCTGCTGGGAATCGCTTGGCTTATATTACCTGGACTTAGAGGCATGAAAACGAGTTAAAAGAATGATGGGCTTGTGCTTGCACAGGATATGTGCAAGTCATTTGCCAACTAACTGCTTGTTAAGTTGATGGAGGGAGTAGGAAGTAGAAATAGCTTTCCTAAATTTAATCTCTCCCCTTATGCACATCTTCTTTAGCCCTATTTATGTACAGGAGGAAGAAAACATGGAGGGAGGGGCATTGAATTGATTCTGATATTCTTAAAATGGAATGTGGGGTTCATCTTGTAGGAGGACCTCAAAACAAATCTGTATGGATCACAGTGGGTCTCATTGAAGCTTACTCTCTGCATATTCTTCAAGGAATCCAGCTATTGCTGGATTTAGAGATATTTCTCTAGGACTCTTATCTGCTGCTCCCTGAAAATATTGATTGTATTTGTGGCAAAGAGATAACTATCAAGTGTTCTATACAGCGTTGTGGGAATTCCCCTATGACAATTACATACATAATGGTCTAGTAATAAAGCATAGCTGAAACTTTCTCCATCAGATGCGGACGTTTTCTTTCTGATGATTCAACAGAATAGCATATCACATTCTAAGGCATTGTTTCAGAAACATTTTTAATTTAAGGAAATCAAGATTGATTCACTCCATGGGTGAGACATATACAAGACATCTTGATTTAATAGTCGTATAATGAAGTATTGCAAAGATCAAATGGTTATGAGCATCGTAACCATGCCTTTCTGTTTGGAGGAACCTTTCTGTTGCTGTTAGTTGTTCTTGTCTCACCAAACATCTGTGAAAAACCTCCTCTATTCCACCAGGCTTCCCCACCTAGTTACTGCATACCATTCAGTCCCTTTTTGAATTATGTTAGAGGGAGTTGGGAGTGGTTTTTGTACTGGAAGTTTGATATGGCAAGGGCATTTATTTCTGTCTCGAGGATTATCTGTCTTGTAGTGCACTCTACTAAGTACAGCACAACACAGATCAATGGTGTATTCTAAAGAGATGCCTCACATCCAATCACCCCTGATTTTAAGAGTATTTAGATCTTACCTTTAGGATTTGGATTAATTTTTATCAGAGAAAACAGCGGTTTAGTCTTTGTGTTCTCATTCCTGCAGAAGTTTGCAGAGTGAAAAATAAAATTCCTGAGATGCCTGTGGAAACTAGCATATATAAAGTATACTATTTTAATATATTCCTGCTATTTGAAAGAGTCACATTTCAAACAGGAATTGTTACTAAAGCTTTCTCCGCTCAGTTATAAAAGCATTGTGAGAAAAGTAAGATCCAAGATCATGTCCCTGACAATGTCAGGGTTACAAGTTTTTTGCCATCCTCATCTAGTCCATGATTTCTCATAATAGAGAATCGTTAGAGAGATTGTTCTTTCTGAGGCTTCTTAAAAGTAATGAAATCTCTTGCCACTGTACACACTGGAAAACAACATTCAAGCCAGCTAGGCCCAAGTGTAATACCTTTGTATTTCTGTTTGCATGACCTCCAATTTGGTTGCAGTTCACTTCCTTCTGAGCAAGAGTACAGGAACTGATTCCAAATGTTTATATTGTCATGCCTCTATGGAGGGGCTGAGCTGTTATTGCCACTCAAAATTAGTAATCCTTTCCCAGTGTGGTAAAACACTTTCACATGATATTTACATGCTGACCACACTTCTTCCTGTTCCACCCTTCCCACTGTTAAGGAAATAAACTGCTGCTAACTTGCTAAGAGCTGAGCTGCTTTTCAGGGTGCCACAACCATGCAGGTGGCATGAGAGATATATCCATCCCTGTAATGGTTGAATCTTGGCAAAACTGAAAAGCTACAAAAGACATACAGAGTAGAAGTATCCTGTTTATCTTCCTCTTCACTTCTGTGAAGAAAAACTCAGTGCAGAGGTTCCCTGGTCCATATCACCAGTCCAAAAAACCAAGAAATGGTTCAGAGCACCATATTGCCTTTGAAGAACTTTTACAAATATATAAATTATAAGTTTGAGAGAGAGCCTGCAAAAAATAAATAAGATTGGCAGTCATCTGTAGTGTAAACAGTTTGGAAACATTGAACAACTAGGTCTTGAAAGAATAAACCTCTAGAAGGCAAGCTGCAGATAAAAAAAAATACTCAACACATCTACAGGATCCCAATCTTCCCATTAGTATGCAAATGTTTTTGAGCATCCTGTCATATTTTTTTGCAACAGATTAATTGTTCAGTGAGTTTGAATATTATACTACTTTGAAAATGGGGTTCACATACTTTGTTTCATTTATGTTAAAAATATTTAACATTTCATTGAAAAAATTAATTGACCAGTGTGGCTGGTCAAATCTCTATTTCTAAGAAAGCTGATGCTACGGCATCATAAAATGAAATGAATGTTATTGACTGTGGTTATTTTTATCACAGTCATCCTTTTGGCCATTTCATAATCACTAGGACATATGGCCTCCAAACTTGTGTGATTTTTTTTCTTTTTTTATATGTAATGATTGCTAATGTAGACTGTAGAAATGAATTAACATCTCAAGCTCTTCAAGGTCAATATCTAAGCTTGTTCTAAATTAAGTTTAAAACAAATCAGTAGTCCATTCATTAGACCTCTCATCTTCAAAAAGATATCACTTTCTAGTAGTAGGTGCAATATTAAACCAGAATTGATTTCAATCATGCTGAGTTTCTATCAGTCCCTAGGGTAAAAGGGGCTTGTTAAATTCTTGTGCAATATAAGTTACAATATTGTCTTAATTAGTCTGATCAATACTGCATGGAAAGAGCTGTTGATAGACTGTCAGCAATAGAGGATGTAAAAATAGCTGCAATAAATAATTTAGTATAAATAGAAGGCTATGCTGATATTTCAGTAAAACTTAGAGCAAGTGGCATTTTAACACATATTCTAGTTTTATCTGTACTGTCTCAAAAATCAGCAAGGTTTTCAACAGGAATACATTATTGTCATTCAGATTGTGTCCATGGTTTATCATTTGGTTATTATGTTGTATATATACTTTTTAAGGAAGGGCAGAAAATGAGAGAAAATAAAAAATGTTGCTTTCCTGCATCTTGCAAGAACCACCTGTCATGCTTTCCAGGCAGCATATCAATCATCTCTTTTGTGATAAAATCACTAGAGAATTCTTTAACTTGTATTTGGTTTCATGGTAGCATTTAATTAATTTTCTACTAATTCCTAATTTTTCCGTGTGGAAAAATCCTTAATCACTAGAACTTTGTTCTTCCACATTCAAAAAGATTATGTACTCAGACCAAGAGATTTTCAGGATTTCTCAAGATTTAGTAGCCATGGAAAACACCTTGAAGAAGCCATATAATTCAGCCTTTTGAGAATCTGGAATCGCTGGTATCTGGTATCTCATCCCACACTTTTCCAGTCTTACAACTTTATGTCTTTCTACTTTACTATATGTATCTCTCTTTCATCCTCCAGTGTGCTAAGAAACCTTCAGACACAATCAAAACAGTAAAGAAAAAAAAGCATAAAATATTTGTTCTGTAAGACTTCACTGAGATCTTATGCTGAAAGATGATCCTTTCTAGCTCTATAGATGTGTTGATAATTTCATCATTAGCCATTGCAAGCTGCGAGTACCTCAACAAAAAAATGCCATCAAAAGAACTTAATGGTGTTTGATGGTATTGTAGAGAAGGAACTATGTTCCTGTTCAGTATTGAAATATCTGAATTCTAATTGTATACCAAGTTGTTCAGCATAATTTTGTCTTAATTTTAGTATCTCTTTAAAGGGAACCATAATACTTTGATCCTCTCAGGAGTTGAGGATGGCTGGTTGGATGATGTTTTCACAACCTTTTGGAAGGGTAAAGTACTTACTGCTGCTAGTGATAATGATGATGACGATGATTGTCACACTCAGTGCCACGAGCCCTCAAGTAGTGTTTAACAATATGAGCTAAAATTCAGCAATATGTATAACAAGTGGTAATGTGTCATTGATTATAAAATTTGTAGTATTCCTGCATCTTGCTCTATATGTCAGTCTCATCAAGAGTTGAAATAGCCTATTTAACACTGCAGGAATTTCAATTTTTCTTCCAACATTTGTAATACCATTTTGCCCACACAAGTCTGATGTTTCTTTCCTCACACCCAACTGCAAGATGGACATTTGTTTTTTTCAAGAGTACACTTAGGTTATTCCAATACAATATGTATTGTAAAGACATTGATCAGAAACACTTTCTTCTGGCAGACAAAGGACATTTTATAAGAACTTCACTGTGGCTTTTGAAGGGCCTCTGAGATCAGTTATGATTTTTAGACAGCGAAATCTCTCCAGAGCTCTCCTGGGAAGAACTGTGACTAAAACCTGTAACAACGTGGTCTCCTTATACTCTCTTTTTCTTTTTTTTTTTTTTTTTTTTTAAACTCAGTAAAAGCTGAGTATTTTTGTATTTTCTTTGTTTTCCAGACTTGTTTTATAGGATAGACCTGACATACCACCACAGGTTAATAGAGTCAAGATGTTATTCTCACACAGATAATATCCTTTGACCTCTTCTACAATTCTCATATATTTACTGAAATTATCAATAATGACAATTTTACTGGAGAGAGCAACCTGTCTGTTCCATACCTGTGATATATTATTTTCTTGGGTGGTCATTCAAGAAGAGTTTTCCAAAAGGCCCTAAAGTTTAATACCACACAAGAACAAGTGTGGTGTGTAAAGATTAAGTTTTAATGTCACAATTTAGTGCCTACTGCTCAGCTTTTTTTTTTTCTCTTGTTTTCCTTCTTTTTTTCCTCTTTTTTTTCCTCCTGTTTTCTTTCTTCTTTTTTCTGTTTTCTTTCTCCTTTTTTCTTTTCTTTTTTTTTTCCTTTTATTTAAACACTGGCATTTGGTAGTACTGTGAAAACAAAGCAAGCTGTCATGTGACACTCCATGTGAGTTACAGATCATTGCCAATGTAATGGCAAAAGAGAGCAAGCGTTGCTGCATCTCAGGACTGACCCTGCAATAGCTGTGTTCTGTCATTAGGTTTCCATCTGCATGACACAAGCCTTTGTAGCAAAGCAATAAATTTATTTCTTGAAAGGATATTGGTTTTAGTTAGGAGGTTCTCTACTTTTTATTGCCATGATGTTTACATCTATTAATACACCTGCATCTTTCTATTTCATAAAAGGAAGGAGACTACAATTCTCTCCCTTGAATCCTATCCCTGGTCTGCAGGTCTTAAGAGCAGGATAATGCAGGACCACATCACTCAGTACAATAAATTTGCAAAATTAGATTTCATAAGATTCTCTATCCCCATCTCACTCTTTCCAGAACCTTCTTTGTGTCTACTAGACACAGTATTCCTTGCAGGAATTCCCTGGGTAGTTCCAGTGTTAGAATTCTTGGAAAAGCATTCCCTTTAATCTGTTCAGCTGCAGCCCTAGTACAATGTCATATCTACTCTTTGGGAGATAGGGCATGGAAGAGTGCCTTAATAGCCATCAGAAGATTCCATGTTAACATCGAGGTTTGTGAAGCACTCCTTTATTCATGTATAATGTCTAAAGAAGGGATAGAGTGCACTACTGATCCAGAGTGAAGATGTTGAGTCAGTGTTACAGAACTGTTCAACAGTTAACGTAGTTTCAAATGAATCTAAATGCTTAAATCCAGTCGATGTTTAAGTTCAGTAGATTTTGAATGCTTTGTTAAATGGATTTATGTGATAATTAAAATTTTTTTATGAACACTGTTCCAGGAAGGAATGAAAAACTTTCCATGAGTGCAGGCAGCATCAGTAAATATTGAGATATATCTGGAAGCAGTCAAGAAAGCTTCTGAAGCTGCTATGCTTATTTCTTTCTACTGTTCATTAAATTTCCACTGTGGGACAGCATAGCAGGAGTCTAGATTAATCTCCTTACTGTCAAACTAAAAATTCTCTGAAAAATGAGGTGGAAACATTAGCTGTTTTAAATACTGTTTCTGTTAATTTGGGGGAGTTGGGGGGGTTGTCCTAATGAACCAAGTATAGTTTCTTGTACCATCCTGCTCCAAAAGCAGAGAGAGAAAGGAATGAAAATATTGTTATATCATGCTGACTTAGAAAAACTCCTAAGAAATTATTTGAAGAATTATTCACATATGCATTATTGAAGTTTAGCTAGTAACAGAAACAAAGGGCAGAGCAGACAGACCCGGATACTGAACACTTCTACACACCTTTCTGGAAGAATCAGTATGCCTAATTATGTGAGAAATTTTACTCACATGTTTGGATGTTTTCACAGTACTGATCAGTACTGAATAGTACTGATTCAATATATATTTCTAGGTATAACACATACCTGACTGAAGTTGAATATTAACCTGTCCTGTTAAACTAAATAAACTGATAATTTTTGTTATCACAAAGAATAAATATAAGAGGCTTGATATTATCCAGATGAAACACATATCTCCTTTGAGTACTGCAGTACCAAGAATTGGCTGGAGACCCTAGAGGAGAAAAAGAATTAAGATAGCAACTTTTTAATAAAAGTATTAACCTTTTTTCTCATTTCAGGAGCTGCTGAGAAAAGTTCCAAACATGGTGCGGAAGATAAAACACAGAATATTATTAGTGCTATGAAGGAAAGAATGAAGATTAGGGAGAAAAATAGACCAGAGGTGTTTGAAGTGATCCAGGAAATGTTTAATATTTCCAAAGAAGATTTTGTACAATACACAAAAGCAGCAAAACAAAGTGTTTTGGATGGAACATCCAAATGGTCGGCAAAAATAACCATCACAGGTAAATTTTCTTCTGAACTGTTTGCTCTAAGGGCTGTTTCTTTCCTAGTCCCTGGTTCGGGAATAAGATTTATTAAAATTAGAGCTGGAACTGTGTGTTCAATTGTGTACTTGGTGCATCTATAAATGGTTGGATTTATAGTATACTAACTGGAAGTTTTAAGCTACAACTGTTGGTAAAACTACTTTATATTCCACTGATAAGTAGTGTGGAAGATAAGTAAATGGTCCTGTTGGGTCTCCTTTACCTCCTACCAATATCTCCTGTGCTAGTGTTGAACTTTTTGCTACCAGTTGCAAGAGTTAAAGTTCACAGTGGTGTTTATGGGTTTGAATGACTGTAAGAACACTGCAGCTTGCAATTCCAGACCCCATTGGTTTGAAGCTCATCATCCATTCTTGTTGCTTGACCAAGGGTGTGTTCCAGTTAAAGTGCTGCTGAGCCAGGGAAACCTGTGCACCCAGAACATTCTCAAGATTGGTTCCAACTGCATTAGGCTGGTTGCTCATAAAGATTTCCAAGTCCTCTGTCTTTGACATTTTAGTTTTTGAACTAAAATCTCAGTGCCGAAAATCTAAATAAAAGCTCAGCTGACTGCACAGACAAATAGAGATTAAACTAAAAGACCAAAGAATTGAAAGGCAGTGATGTGAAACATCAGAGGACTCTGGTTAGATTTCACATCTAAATTAGCCTCAATTTTGTTTTAATGTAATGAAAAATAATAAGCTCTCTTCTGATACTAAAAGTAAATTAAATATTTTCTCTTTCTCCAGGATTTGCAGTATTCCTGTTAGGGTGGATAAGGAGATAAAGTTTAGGAACTTAGTTTAGGAACTTATTTTTAGCTTTTACTAGTCAGTTTTGATAAAAATGAGTGAAACAAAAGCCATATTTTTAAAATAAACAATAGTCTATACGTAAGTAACACACACAGTTTTCTCACTACTTAGCAGCAACTTGCATAAAAGGTATGTTTGAGTCAGTTCTTGGTGCCTGATATTTCACACCTGTATATACGGTAATTTTGCTAATGTATTTTATAAGAAATTTTCCATATATCCTCTCTAAGATCAAGCACATGCACACTGTTAAAAAAATACAGGAGTGTCCTTTACTACTCTTTTCTTTATGAAACAAGTGACTAGGATACCCTGAGCAGATAGATGGCATTATTTTAACAAGTTACTCAGTAAATGTGCAAATGTCTTCAGACTATCTGCTGGGTAAACATCAGTTTACTAGTGTTAGTGCAAAACTCACTTGTATTGCTGAATGGCTTGTTTCTTGTCTTTTAGAAGTAAAACTCATACTAACTTGAGTTCTGCATAATCATGACCTAATAAATGAATCATAGAATAATTTAGGAAGCGATGTTGGAAGGGATTTCTACAGTATATTCAAACCTTCTGCTAAAAGCAGGGTTAACTTCAAAGTTAGATTAGCTTGCTCAGGGCTTTGTGCAGACTAGATTTGAAACTCTCAAAGGATGGAGATTCCACATTCTCTCTGTGAAACCTGTCTTCCTTACTGGACAAGCAGTTTCAGTTATTAACCACTCGCACTGTAAAACTGTTTTCCTTATATCCAGCTGGGATTTCTCTTGCTGCAGCTTGCAGCTCTTATATCGTGTTATTTCACTCTGTGCCTTCGAGAAGTGTCCGGCTTCACAGAATCATAGAATAGTTTGGGTTGGAAGGGACCTTTAAGGGTCATCTAGTCCAACCCCTCTGCAATAAGCAGGGACATCCTCAACTAGATCTGCTTATCCAGGAGCTCATCGTCTCTGTGTCGTGCTCTTTAGGTAGTTGAGGACTTCAGCTTGATCTCCTATTAGCCTTCCTCTTCTCCAGGATAAGCAAACCGAACACCCTTAGCCCTTTCTCCTGCGTCATGTGTCCCAATTCCCCAGACAAATTCGCAACACTCCATTGGACTTTCTCCAGTTTGTCATTCCCTTTTACTGGGGAGCTTCAAAGTGCAGAAACAATATTTAATCTGGGTGCGGCTTCACAGGTGTCAAATAGATGCAAGTGAACACTTCCTTCAGTTTGCTGACTATACCCTGAAGAGAGAATGCAAGATTCTCTCTTCGTGAGAGAATTTCCCACACCAAGTGAAGAAACTTAGAGGCAAACCTAAGCTAATTGTTGGATCTTAGAGAAAGATGGAAAGAGAATCCAGACTTCCTAAGGACCAAAATATTAATAGGGAATAGGTCTTTCCCTGCTGGTGTTTCAGAGGTGTGTACTTCCACCTAAATAGCTTAGTATATGTTGGGTCCCAAGTTATAGAAGACTGCTAATTCCTTCCCTGACTGGCATCATGTTCTACCTATCATTTAAAAAAAACAAAAACCCAAACAACAACAACAACAAAATCAGAGTCGCTCTGCATTTACCCTTTACCCCAAACTTCCTAAGCCAGGTTGCAAGGCATTTGCTGCAGTCAAACTTGATGGGTACTGTGAAGTTTTTCTTCTTTACAGTCCTTACAATACCTAGTAGTGAGATGGGGAGTGACCATGAAAATACTCTGTACTACACAGAGGTTTGCTGGTTATCTTGTGGCAAAGTGTTAAAAGAGTTGTTGAACTTAAAGATAACACATTTTTGTCTTACAAAAAGACATGTGTTTCAAATTTGCTGACTTTTTCTGTAATGACAAGTGGCTGTCAGTAGTATGCTACCTAGCAGATATTTTTGAAAAAATAAACACATTTAAACAGTCCTTTCAAGGTAAAGCTGTCATTTTAACAATGAGTGAGAAAGTAACTGCTTTTTGAAAGAAACTCGTGCTATGGTGAGAGCATTATGGAAATGGATGTTTGGAAATGTTTCCATCACTATGTGATTTTTCTGCAAAAAACAATGTCACCTACAAAAACTCTAATCTGTACAGTTAAAAAACTTGGAAATGGAATTTTCTACCTTGTTTAAAAATCTTCCAGTGGGTTTTGAACCCATTTGTTAAAACTATGAAAATGCAACACTTTCTAATTAGTTTGCAAGAACAACTGGTTGACATCAGGCAAGACAGAAATTTACCAGCTGAATTTCAACAAAAACCTTTGCCTAATTGGTAGATGGGATTGAAAAATTAGTGTAGTGATTTAGTAAGTGCAGCCAATAATGCACTTCTTCCATTTGGATCTATGTATCTTTGTGAGGCAACTTTTTCAGCTATGGTGAGAGATGGAATTGCCATTTCCATTGCTGAAAGGTAAAGCTGGCATTCAGGAGGGGAAGGAGAAAGGCATTTGTCAAGTGGACCATGAATGAATTGCTCTCTGAGAGTTCGTATGTGTGTTTTTAGCTACACGTGGCTCTGTAGTCCAAACTAAAGCCCAATCATATTTGGGGCAGTATGTAAACTGTACATGGAGCTGAAGGATAGCAAATATGTGCCAGAAGAAATCTAGGGAAAATCTGAGATTGTGAGTCAGATGGATTAGGAAAAAGGGAGGCCATTCTGAAGGTTATGGGAAAGTGCATGACTCAAAAGAATAGTTGCTGAATTTTGGGACTGTCTAGTTCATTCCGAAGAGTTAGTCTTTTCAGGAATGAGGTGTGTAAAAAAGTAACAGCAACTTACTTTTTTCACTGAAGTCAGCAGATAGGACTGAACCCACACCGGGAGCTGATCTGCTGAGTAAGAAGGTGCCGTTTTTATGTAATCATTTTTCTGAGCACAATGAGGGAGCTTCATTACCCAAAATGATTGACATTAGAGAATGTTAACTAAATGTTACCACTGAGATGGTTTAAATAATATGTGCAAAATAACAAAACCAAGCTCTGCTGATGCTAGGAGCTGTGGCAAGTGTTTTAGCTGCAGCTCTCTGGGTTTGGTAAGCTGCTATTTGACAGTTCTGCTTTCTCCTGAGATTTCCAGTTTTATGAATTCGAATGGAAAATCAAATTGTGTGTATTTATATTTGCCACAAAATGCATACACATTAACTATACACCCACATTAACTGTCAGAAAGGCTGACAGATACATAAACAGTTAATGATAATTGATCTGAAATGTCACCCTGTCTGTGACAGAATAGGAAGTATTCTGAAAATCCTCATGGTTCATCTCTCACATGAGGAAAACAAATGACAAAGTCATAACCATGTCCCTTGTGTTTAGTTTCATAATCCACAGTGCAGATTTCTGAAAACTGGAGGGTTTATTTTGGAAATTTTAGTTTGGATCTTTGGAAAAACTTTGGAAAATATTTATTTACTTATTGGGGGGGGGGGGGGGTTTTTTGGGCTCTTTTGGGGGATTTTAGGGACCTATTAGACTCAAGCCAAGTTATACAGCAACATTATATTACTTGCCATGCTGATTAAACCAAAGTTTGAGAAGAGTATCTGAATTATGCATGGCAAGAAAAGTATTTGTTTTGTGCTCTGTAATGAATCTTTAAATGTATTACTCTATTAAACCATATTTATAAATTTTATACAGTCCAGAAGGGTAGTTAAACAAGCCTTGTCTATCCCTAGAGTAACAGACGCTGGGAAAATTCATCCGGAAAGCTTTCTTTCAGGAATCCTCAGTCTGAGGGCTTTGTTTCCTGTTGCTGTTGTCACTGTCTCATTTATTTCTTGGCAATGAAGGCTATGAGGGCTAAAGCATATTTCTCTCCTTTTGTTGCAGTTCTTTGTGCTCAGGGCTTACAGGCTAAGGACAAAACTGGCTCAAGTGACCCATATGTTACTGTGCAAGTTGGCAAAACCAAGCGGAGAACAAAGACTATTTTTGGAAACTTGAATCCAGTATGGGATGAAAAATTCTATTTGTAAGTATAGAAGAGACTGTTGTTTTTTGCTTTTTAAATTTACATTTTGGTGATATAATGCTACCAAGTGAAACAATTACTTAATCTGAAAATATTTTTTGTCTATACTATGCATATTCATATCATTAATAAATTAGCAAGTTCCGAAAGGAGACAGCATAGAAGTTATTGTAACTTTATCATATAGTAGTCATACAGCTCATAATTATGTCTTTTGGGGGATCTCTTGGTGGTGTCTATTTATTCTAATTTTTTAGGGAACTTAAGTGACAGTTTTCAGACTTTGACCTTACGTACCAAATGTTGGCATTATAAATGCCTTCCTATGTCTCAGATACTGACCATGCAAGTTAAATGCATTTTTATTCAACATTACGATTCTCCTGGGTAAAACTAGGGAATTTGATGATCCAGCCACCAAGCCAGGAAACATGAAATTAATTATTACTCTACCCTTAATCGGTTTAGTGGTGGAGTTGGTAGTGTGAGGTTAATGGTCGGACTTGATGATCTTAAAGGTCTTTTCCAACCTAAACGATTCTATGATTCTGTGATAGCAGCTGGTATGTTTCAGGCTCTGGGATGGGCTGTTTGTAATGTCTGTCCTTTCCAAGACTGAGTATTTTCCAGAAGTCTGATGTGGACAGCGTGGTACGTTCCTCCTGACTCCTTTCTTTGGCCACAGCCTCTGAACTAAATATGGTATAGTTTGTTGTCAGCATATCACGGAAGTTCAACCCTGACTGCAAAGTAGATGTTTCAGTCTGTAATACTTTGACTAAGGTTTGAATGTGATTTCATGGCAGTTCTAGTTCTGGCAATGTTCCTAGAACTTCTTTCAGAAATACATGTTACAGTACAGGAAATGCCAATTCATGGGTACTATACTGTTCTTTTCCTGAAAATATTGCCTTAGGATGCAAACGTTCCTGACTGAGAAGGTGACCAATCTGATAATAGGATCAATTTGCTCAGTGTTATTCCTTTACATGTAGCAAAAGTATTTCAGCATTTATTCTTTTCTCAGCTTGATTACTATGGGCTGCAGAATATAATGTGCACTTAACTACTATAGTTAAAGTCAATTAAGGATTCTGAAAGGCTATATAAACCCTAGATTTTCTTTGGAAAATTTTAAGTGAAAAAGAAATGTTTATTTAGTCAGATTTTTTAAATTGTTCAGGAAAGTTTCAGTCTACCCTGAAAACACCTACCACAGTATTATCATATGAAGTTAGTAGGTATTTTATGGAAGCTGTGTGAAAACACTAGTATAGTAAATTACGAAAAGAAGAAATTTTAATAATATAATAGGATATACAATTTCAGTGTTTGTTAAATACAACAGTTTTATTTGCATTTTTACTGAGAATATATGCAAACTGTTGACATGTTATAATATTCTAACCTTTTGGTACTATGTTATAAAAGTCTAATATGTTTACGCCTAATAGTGTTATTCAAAACTGGATGTTAGTTTGATACAACTTGATGAAAGCCTGTATCAGTGATGATAAAAATGATGTGTCATTTTTATAAGCAACGCTGAATTTATGAAGCAGCAGCAGAACAGCTCAGGATCCTGCAGACTGCCCAGTCAAGGTTCAGAATCTCTAGTTAGTCACTGTGTGCAACAGACGATTTCAAAATAACCACTCATCACGATGTAAAATAATTGTCTTCAGACTATAACATTGTTTAGTTTCTTCTTAAATTCTTTTCCTCCTATAACGAAGACATCAGTTGTCATTATTCCTATCTACATTAACCATGGAAACAATTTCTGTTATGGCTCAGGCATTTGAAATAGAGCTCCGTTTTCTTCAAGAACATGTAGTGTCAACACCAGAGGTTACTTTCATATCATGTAGCACAACAGCTATTTTCTCTTCCCTGTTTTTTTGACTAAAATCTGCTACCTTATTGTTGAGGAGGTTATCATTTCGCTAGTGAGTTTGAAAGAGGTATGACCCAAGATGTTGCTACTATTTGTCTGGAAAAAGTACTAGGTAATCCAACTATATTAAACAATGTGTGCCCATTCCTTTCACAGATTCAAAGGCCAGTACTAGAAATGAATAGTTAATTCAGAGAAAACACACACTCAGGTACTTTTTACAGGCTTCCCATACACAGATCATGTTGTCTTTTCTAGTTATTTGTGTTACTCCAGTGACAGTTGAAGTGTCATACCTCATTGAATGACTGTGAGTAACTAAAGGTAGGAGACAGTTACTTTTTGCATTTAATTCTATGACTTGCATAGTGTCAAAAGTTGGATGAGCAACTCAGCAAATTTGGTGTGAAGGTTTAAATGTATTTTCTCAAAGATGTGAGCAGGGCTACCATAAAATCCCTGGAAACTTGAAAATATGGGTTTTTTTCACCCAGCACTGAGTATTACTATCATCTGCTGCTCTAGCAATAACATTAATAAAAAAAAATCACAAACTCTACTATAGCATAAATCTCCTGAGTAACTGCTTTGAACTGAATACATTTTCAATCATTTTTATAACACTTGTACTTCCTAAAATAAAGTTATCTCCCTGAGCTATTTAATGCATTGGATTTCAATTGAAAGTATATGAGAATTTCTAAAGTGTATTAAATAAATGATAATGTTTAACTACAAGATTAAATCTAAAGTAGATCAATATAACTATTTCATTGACTCAGGAAGTTTCATTTAAATTAGGCTCTACTAGTGATATTTGAAAGTCCTGTTTAAGATCAAATATATTATAATATATTATAATCATCATTATAACTGCTAAATGATAAATTGCAGAAATAAAATATATCTCATAATCTTACAATCATATATTTACTCATCATACCAAAACAGTCGTTTAAATCTCCCTATCTGTTCCAAAACAAGGATTTGGAAAAAACATTGGCTCCCCACTGTGCATTTGCTCTGTCATAGCAGACAGAGCGAGGGCAGGGTTCTAGTCTGCAGAATCACGCATAACCCTAATATGGTTGTACAGTAAGCAGAGAGTGAATGTTTCTAATAAAACATAATGTAACCCTCTGCTAAATGACCATGGGATACTGGCATAGATTTTAACATGGGAACTCATAAACCGTAACTAAAGTAGAGCTTACGTACAGCTGCATGCATCTCAGTTAAAAAACAAGATTATCAGAGGAAGAATATATCTTTCCTTGTAATGTATATTTTTTTGTACTCAAGAAAGAGAAGTAAATAGGCCAGCAGATATTCCTTTAATGAATGTAATATAGGTGGTAAGGGCTTTGATCCTTTCTGTTGGCATTATTAGAAAGGAGATAACAGAGCAGTTTTTATTTTTTTCAATAGAACACCAGTGATAGGAGTTTTTTCAATGCCAGAGCAAAGGAAGAGTCTTTCAGCTATCTGTCACCTTCCTTCTTCTGGTTGAGTGTGGCATCTGATATGAGAAAAGGGACTGCATTTTTATTTTTTAGTTACAAGGAAGAGATATTTTGGCTGTATAGTTTTCAGCTTTGTACAATCTTTTAGAACTATACAGTATAATAAAACTCTTCTCCACTTTCATTCTTTTCTTGGCTATTTTCAACAGTTGATTGTTGAAATACTGAATTCTGCTTTTTTCTGGCAGTGTTGTCTAGCAAGCACACATCTCCAAATTGCCTTGCAGACTTTGCAGGTACCATGTTTCCTCTGACCACTCTTTAACATCTCAGATACTGTTGTATAATACAGATGTCTTTCATGCAACTGGATGATTATTTTACATCACTTATTCTTTCTATTTTGGTTGTCACTAGGCCACCATATGGCTCTGATAAATAGCTTCATTGCATGTTGATTACTCCTTTCAGTGCATGAAAACATTTGATCTAATTGATTTAAATTAGACCAATGAGAAGGGTTTTTTTGAAAAGTATGATCACCACATGACCAATATTACGGTCATCACTAAACTGTTAGAATTTGTCCAGTTTCTGACATTCTTGATGTTCCTGGTGATATAGTGAAAATATGCAATGCAGACATAAAATATAATAGAAGATTTACAATTGCTCACATAAAAAAAACCCCATACTTATTTGTTCAAACAAACTAGAATATTGCTGAGAATTCTTACTGCTATATATTTTAGCAGATAATACTGGGAAAACGTATCCTCTAGCACCAAACAGCATTGACGTAGATTAGAGACTGTGATAGTTAAAGTCTCTGTGTTGGTCAGAGAAGCTGTTCAACTGCTTCATATTTCAGATATTTCAGTCTAGAATTTCTGATGAAGTGAGAATTTCTGGCAGCTATTTCAGGCATCCAGCTGTGGATGTTCTTTCCTTAGAATTATCTAAGAGATAGAGCAGCTATCTGCTCTAATAAGCAGATAAGAGATATCTAAGAGAAGAGCAGCACTCGCACAGTTTGTTTATACTGCAAAAAAGTGATTTGTGGATTCATTTAAAGCAATACTTACTATAAGCAGCCATGTAAAGGAAATAAATACAACAAGAGGACTTTAACAAAGTCCTTTCCTACTGTCATTATATACATTCTTGATCAACTGAACTGACTTGTAAAAAGCGTAATCTTCATTGTACCTGAAGACAACAGGATTGGTTCACTGTTTAAATAGTGTTCCAGTTTCCAGTGATATCTAAACACAGTCTTGGGAGAATTGTTGAAGCAGCTTAAGGATTGTTTCATAAGCAAGAGTTTATAACAGAGAATTATATTACACAAACCCAATTAGGTAATAGAAACCTGCAAATTAGTTTACTGGATTTATCCATTCTAAAAATTCTTCAATAAGCAGCCAACTCTCTGAGAGACATCCTACTAATTAAATTAACTGTATCTCACAACCTCAGCCCAAAACAAGAGAGCAGAACATCTCTAAGAACCTATTCAAGTGGTAAATTTTTTGTCCAGCAAAAATGTTTTTCGGTTTCACAGTACAGCATGTTTGGTCTGAGTGTCTTTTTCAAAATGCTGTCAATCCAGGTTAATTTTATAAAACTCTCTTTGTTAT